GTATTTAGTTATCTCAAATTGGTGTTTCAATTTTGATAGGCTCCTTCAAACATGTTGGAGGAAGATCTTTACACCCCCAGTCTAGGGACCTAAGGCAGGTCTGACTCCTCACTGCTCAACCAAACAGAGGCAACACTGCTGACAAAAGAGGGGGAAAAAAAAATTATTACAGTGTGGTGACACTGAGAAGACATGTAAAAATATCTTTCACTGGTCAGCCAACTTACTGATGTTTTTATATGTGAAAGGAGGTGTTAAAGGACTTACAGCTATCTATAGAAAAGCATAGATTGGGTTAATTTTTAGTTGGGGTCACAATCAAATAATGTGTCTTTAGAACAGCAGTTTTAGTCTTAGCTAAGGGGTACAAACAAATGAGCCACCTTCAAAGACAGGAATTTCAGGGCCCGGCAGGTGGTATGATGGTTAAGGTGTTGGACTCCCACATGGCAGACTGTGGTTCAAGTCCCAAACCTGGTGGTGCTAGCTTTTTCGTGTTCTCTCTCTCTCTCTCTCTGTCTCTCCAGTCAAAACTGAAAAATGTTAATAAACAAAATTAAGTAAATATTTAGAAAAAAAAAGACAGGAATTTCAGCTTGTGGCTGGGGCAGAATGTCCCTCATTGCTCCAAGCTACAGGATGGCCATTTGTCACCTCAGAGTTCCAAAGAGAAATTTCAAACAAATAATGTCAGGCAGAGAGAGAGAGAGAGAGAGAGAGAGAGAGAGAGAGAGAGAGAGAGAGTGAGAAAGAGAGAGAGAGAGAGAGAGAGAAAGTGAGAAAGTAAGCTACCAGGTCCAGGACTCAAACCACAGTAGACCATGTGGGAATCCAGCACCTTAACTACCTTGCCATCTGCCAGCCCCATTATGAGCACTTTTTAAAACAAAGGATAACTTTCTATTCCTTTCCCAGTAGATATTTGTCCTTGTGAATAGTACTTTGTTAATAAATGTATTCTATATTAATACAATTCACTTAAAAACTAGCATAGGCTCAACCATGGTGGCCCAGGTGGTAGGGCATGCCTGAGCCAAACTGGAACCATATGTGAAGGCCCCAGGTTCAGACCCTAGATTGACACAAATATGCCAGGGATATCCATGATCTTGGCTGGCTGGAAGACTTCGTGGTACGTGTGTTGCAGGGAGGAATCCTGATGGAGTAAGACTCTGCCAAGTGTTTCTCTCTCTTTCTCTCAAAAAATAAATAAGCTTTAAATAAAATAAAAACTAATGTAGAAGGGTTGTTATTCTGGTCCAGTTGCGGTGACACAAATAGTGAGACATTGCTAGGCAAGGCTGGGCTGCATGAGAGGCCCAGGTTTCAGTGTTCATACCAACCTCAACAAGTCAGGTAGGTGCAGTAGTACATGTTGGTAATGCTACCTAATTGAGAGAGCCCCCAAATGTCTCTCTCTCTTTCCCCCTCACAAAACAAAACAAAACAAAACAAAACAAAAAATGGAGTCATTATTTTTTTTTCTTTTAAAGGATTATTTATTTGTTGTTGTTGTTATTATTATTTAAATTTGACCAGAGAGAGAAAGAGAAAGTGAGAAAACAAGTCATGAAGTCTGGGACTCAAATCATGGTGGGCCATGTGGGAGTCCAGCACTTTTACCACCATACTACCTGCCAGCTTTCCCAAGAGTTATTATTCTAAATTAACTCAACCAGTCTCTCTCTCTCTGTGCATTTTTGAATTACTTAATTTTTTTATTATTATTTTAAAAATTCATTGTAGGGCACGTGTGTTCATCAGAGACAGAGAGGGAAAATGAGAAAGCAAGTCAACATGTCTAGGACCCAAACTGTAGTTGGCTATGGGGTTTGGGAGTCTAGTGCCACCACGCCACCTGCTGGCCTCAGTCTGTATATTCAAAGATGGAAGAAAAATCCTGAAAATTTTCTTGCTTTCTTTCTCACTTTTCCCAGTTAAATATATTGTTTGTAATACTGTTTTAAACAAGTTTAAGCAACATAATAGTTACACCTAGATAATTTAATCTTCATTGAAAACTCTAGGATGCAAAGTGGCACATTTTCATAAAGCCATTACTGGGACTCCTGGACAATGAAATAATTGATGTTTACTGTGAATATAGTCAAAGATGCCCTGTTCTTACATTTTAAAAAAATACTCACTTAATTTTTATTTATTATTATTTTTAAATTTGCTATAGGGTACATGTGTTCACCATAGAGAGACAGAAAGGGAAAGTGAGAAAGCAAGCTACCAGGTTGGGACTCAAACTGTGGGTGGCCATGTGGGAGTCCAGTGCCTTGACCACCATGCCACCTGCTGGTCCCTTTACTTTTTTTTTTTTTTTTTTTTAAAT